TTACAATGGGCCTTTGCAGACTGCTAGAAATAGTGCAAATTGACTCCACTTTAAGTGCCCTGGCTCAGTGCTAGGGAATCATGGGAACTGTATTTTTTTCTGAGACATTGAGCCTTCTCTGCCAGAGAGCTTTCGTGCCACAATAAACTACAGTTCTCATGATTCCCTAGCACTGAGTCAGGGCAGTTAATGTGGACTCAATTTGCACTATTTATGGCAGTCTGCAAAAGCCCAATAAAAACCTAAGCTATAAACAGAAAAAAAAACCGGAAGTATTAAACCAGCAGATTAAACTAAACAGAAAGAGTGGGACGGATGCTTGAGTTAATAAGAATATCTTAGACTAGCAACTTGTTGATATAGTTTCCAGGCAAATCCCTTTAGGAAGAGAATTCTTCAGTAGAGAAATCACCACTGAGAAGATCCTGACTCCAAACATTACCTGACAATTTTGAAGGGCTGCTGCACTTACAGAGAGTCACCATTGGGTGATTTAAAAGATCATTGACCATTAATCTCCAACACCATTCTGGATAATAGTTGCCTTCCCTTAAGAATGAAAGAAAACATTATTCAGTTCATAAATGAAGACACAGTTATCATTCAATGTTTCAATGAGCTTTTGAGGAACAAGTATATTAATCACAAAATGTGCACAAAATATCTATATTATGAGAACAAGCATACAGAAAGGCAAATAAAAGCACACAAATTTAATAAAATGCCTTATAATGATGATAATATTATACTAGATAATATTAATTGAAAAGCTATACATTTTAGGTAAAAGAATGTAAATCAAACACATAACTGAAACAATGTGCAGAAGAAACCAGGCCTTTTTTGTGTGGCAGAAATCACAAAATGATTTAGAAATGTGACAATGTGAGCTTGAGTGGAAAAAAAAACAGCATAAGAAATTGACAAATTGGACCTTTGTACTTATAGGATCACAAGATGTATTGTTTTGAATGTTGGGTTATGACTCTGGAAATCAGGGTTAGAAAATCCCTGTTAAGCCATGGAAACCAAAATTTGAATCCCTGTTAAGCCATGGTGAAGTCACATTTTCTCAGTTTCAAAGGTAACCCCCACCCCCATGAATGAATATAGCCTAGACAACCTTATGATTGGTTTATCATTGTTATATGTTTATGCTCCATAAATATAAAATATTAGACTTTGATGCATAAGACAGGAAAGCTGACTGTTGTTAAAGTCCACACAAATTGTTAAAAGCATAATGAACAAGGTAGGGCTGTGGACTGGGCACTTTGTCCATCTGCAGGAAAACCAATCCAAACTGCAAAATGGAAATTATCTCACTCTCCCCTCCTGGCTGAAAAGGAATGGTTGCACTGATGGAGAGCAAACAGTTTTTAACTGTGTTGTTTAAATCCCCAGAATGGAGACCTGACAAACTGGCTTGAAGTGGGACACCCTCATTGCAAGGTAAATATCCATACCAATTGGCTTTTTGTCTAGTGTACACAAAATAGAGACACCCAGAGAGAGTATCTCATTTTCACCTACACCCCTCTCTGACCTTTTCCTCTCTTTTGACTTGCTCTCCAAGCTCCAGTCATTTCCTTCACATTGGAGAATGAGAAAATCCATGTGAGTTTTAGCCTGTAGCACCTGAAGCCTACCTCTAGCTCCCTGAGATTGCTTACGAGAAAGGTTTAAGGTTCATTTATTTATTTATTTCTGTATTGTCCCCCCCCCCTTTTACTTTGAGAAACAGTTTGCATTGAGTATAGGCTGTTCTGTTGGTTTCTGATGCTACTTTTTTCCCTACCATTTTAGATAATAAATAATTGTTTTTGCTGCAAAATCATCTTATCCATCTACCTCACTTTTACTTGGAGTCACTTTGGTTAATTGTCCATCTTTAAAACCTGTAGCCTGCAAGGTCCTGCAGAGACCTAGTGCCTAGAACAGCTCTCCTACCCCAAACAGTGCACTCTTCTTAAAACCTTAGGGCTGTCATAATGGAAACTACTTGATGGTACTCAACAACAACAAATGTTACAAATGGACAAATCTGTTTCTGAAGCAAACTGAGTTGACTGAAAGCTTCTGGTCTAAAGTAAAAATGAAATTATAATTACCATTTTGATTTTCTACTCTGAATTTTGCAGCATAGATATATGCACAAAAACCTATAGAATTGCTTATAAAATGTCGCATATTTAAAAAGGCAAACTGTGATATATATTTAGAAATGCATGTTTTGTGGGAAATATATTCATAATGCAAAATTAAATCATAAAATAAAATTAAACTTATTTTCTTTTGTTGATTGGAGTAATTAACAAATGCAACCTTATAAATGAATTAGCAAATTCTTTCTGACTTTGCCTTCTTCAGTCGCTCAAAATAAAAGTGATCTGTCCCCAAGATGGTAGTTTGGAGCACTCTATTGCTAACATTCTTAAGTGGATGATGCCATTAAGTTATCCTCTTGGTTGAGACCATGCGGTGTTGAGTTCTTAAGTCTGTGGATCCAAAATTTTTCCCTTTTATCCAACATACTTAACAGAGATAACATTTCAATTATAAGACAAATTGGAGAAGCTGTGGTGTTTGGAGTTACAATGTCTAGCCACTGGTTGAGCAAGAGTCCTTGGGTTTAAAGATACAGCCTCAACCCAGTTTGGAACTTACCTGTGCAGATAACACATGTGGCTGTAATGAAAGGAAATTGGACCCAAGCCATACTGGGTGTAGGGCAGGGGTAGGCAACCTTTCCCCTTTTAGGGCTGAGGGACTTCAGCTCCCAGAAGCCTCAGCCATGTTGGCCAATAGTCCCATGTTGGCCAATAGCTCCTGTGATTCTGGGAGCTGAAGTCCCTTAGCCCTTAAAGGGGAAAGTTTGCCTACCCGTGGACTAGGGCTTAACACTAGAGCAAAACAAATCTAAGATTGCTCAAGTTCAAGTTGGAAAGATCAAACTGTTGCATTGCATGCACATACATTGATGCAGACAATCCTGATGGCCACCAGCATGGTTGCTGGCCATGTTTTTTGTCACCCATCCAGAAATCAATTGCACAATCACATGAGTGGTCAGCTGCACAATTGACACATTATGCACACTATGAAGCAAAATGATGACAAATATATTGTATTATCAACAATAAAATGGATTTAATAACAACATTAACAAACTGGCCAGTCCAACAGGGACCATTAAAGGAAGGGAAGGAAGTTGGTATATACAGGGGAGAGACATCATGGCTGCAGGCACATGATCTGCCAATGTGTCACTGGATACACCAATATGGCATACAGCTGGTCGACTGACCATGATTGAGCAGATGGTCAGTCATGTAGGGTATCCAATGGGCTACCTGCTGGGTGGAGTGGGGGGAGGTGATTGACTGCTGCTGGTGCAGCATCTGTGTACTTGTACACATGCACTTGTGGCACAATGGAAAAAAAATAATGGCATGGAGTAGCTTGTAGCTAAGATTGCTCCATTATGGTAGGTTTTTCCATGCTGGGACAGGGGTGGTACAGACTGCATGTTGGTTGTCTACCTGTTGTGAGACCCAGTGGTGTAGTCAGCAGGTTCTCCACACAAAGTGAGAAACCTCATGGTGAACCAGCTTCTTTTTCTGTATGCTTTTGGCCCTAGTTAGAATTAAAGATTTGTGATTCCTGACAGATATGTATGTTAGAATTTTAATGGGATATAGAGTCAATGTTAAAATGTTGAAATGTAAAGATGTGTGTGTCTGTATTTTTCCTTGTTGAGAGAAGCTTTTTTTTTCTGAGGCTAGATTCACACTTATCAGCCCAGATGTGTTTTTAGCCCAAACAAGCAGTTGGCTTGTCTACAGTTCTGTGAGAAAGAGGTTTGTTTACATAAAGGATTTATCAACATGACAATTGTTATGGGAATTGCAGCCACATGATTTATTATGGTAATTAAAGGTTGGGCTAACACACGTCATGTATCATCAACCAATCAGTCTGTAAAGGCTACACCCAAAAGGGTGGAGAATTGGGGGGCTGAAAGTTGTGAACTAGAAAGTCATTCACTTGCTTTTTAACTTTTGAACTGTAATGGACTAACTAAAATATTCTCCTGCTGCTGCTACTAACCAATTTTGAATCATGTAGCAGTTAGGCTTTATTCCTGTTTAACCTTCTAGCTAAAGTGAAGCTATTATTGTTATTATTGTTGTTGTTGTTGTTGTTGTTTGTTTGTTTTTGCTCTTGCTGTTTTACAATAAAAGAAGCTTGCTGGAGATTCCAGGTTTTGGTGATTGGTTTCAAGGACTGTTTCCAACACATCCATCAACACAATTTCAACAATGTATGCAGTTCTATAGTTGTTTACCCCATGAAGTAGAGATGATATCTTTTGATATCATAAGATGATATGTCTTTTGCATTCCTGATTTCTCCATTTGTTTTGAAAGTCTGGATACCCTGTTTAGCTATGTCTTTTCCCCCTTTCCACTAAACAGCTAGCTTGTCAGAACCAGTGGACTCCGTTCCCAATGAGCAGGAAAATATTTTAGTGTGACAGAAAACAAAAGACTTTTATTCCAGACATCAGGACAGAAATGGCCAGTACAGTATTTTTGCCAAAACTGAGGGTCCCTTTTCCATACCATAGCATTAGAACTCAAACTATTCAGCTCCCCTTTCTCCTGTTGGTGCCCAACCTTTGATCCTGATCAAAGTAAATTCCAAGAGCCCTTTCTTCCTGTACATCCCAGAATCGCTGCAGGAAGGACAGAGTTGTAAAACCATGAATCCCTTCACTCTGCTTATCATTCCCCCCCTGCTATTTGCCCACTCTCCTATCCAGGGCACATACATGATTCATATAATTCAATATTTAATACACTTCAGTATTTGGTATATGCATCCTTTCCAATAAACCATATCAATTATGACAGGGTCATGCCCATGGATTCTACATAGCTGCAGCTATACAAACATCATAGCTGCTAAATACTTTTCACTAAGGAAGCCAAGCAAGAGCCAGTGTGGTATAGTGGTTTGAGCATTAGACTATGACTCTGAAGACCTAGGTTCAAAACCCTGCTCAGCCATTGAAAGCCACGGGGTAACCTTGGACAGGTCACACTCTCTTAACCTTAGATGGAGACAAAGTCAAACCTTCTCTGAACAAACTTGCCAAGGAACCTCCATGATACGTGTTTCTTAGGGTCACCACAAGTCAAAATGATTTTAATGCACACAACAGGAACAAAAGCCAAGTGGGAGGCAGAGAAGAGAGAACGGAATCTTGACCACCTCAACAAAAGAAGTATTTATTGCATATACTTGTCAGATGTTTGCTTCAATAGCCTATCTAACTGTAATTGCCTCTTTCAATGAACACAGAGGGTCTTTCTTTGAACAGATCCATCCTGGAATGACAGCTTTTCCAGAAAGATACACTAAACCTTTCCAGAAAGGCACACCAAAGCTTTCTTTCTGTCTCACTCTTTCATAGATATTTTGATCCCTTCTTCAATGGAATTCCCCACTATTCCCCTAAAACAAGATTAGTACTGCAGAGAAGCATTACTTTGAAAAATGTTGTAACTTTGGGGTAGCGTTTGATAAAGGCATTCTTTTCCAATAAGACATTTCATGATGTGTCCAAAGTTTGAAAGTCTTATTTTCCCCACCTCTCTCTCTCTCTCTCTCTCATAATAAAAAATATAATATGTACCATGCCAGTGGTGCTCAGATTTTTGACCTTTGGGTCCCCCTTTGCATCTACATGTGGACATCCCCCAGTCTCAACATAGTATATGAATAAAAATATTTTGTTTACTTAGTATGCGTATTTTCATTTGCACATTTGTGTATATTCATATTTTAACATTTTAAATCATTCAAATTAGAACAGTTTTATTTAAGTTATATTTATCTAAGTGAATTCCATATTCAACCAAAGCATGTGTAAATTTTATACATTAAAAAGTTTGGGAATAGGAGAAGTAGGAGGAGAGAGAAGAGCCTCCAAATCTTTTGCCCACCTCCCTTGAGTAGCTCAACCCCCCCCCCCCCCCCGGAATCTTGCCTCACTGTTTGAGAATCACTATACTATGATATATATATTATTGTAAAATTTGAATATCACTGTAATTACTGTCTATCTTAAGTCTTGTTATTCTATTATAACATAATTCTGCTTCTTTAACAATTTTTTTAAAGTAATTTTTTTTTAAAAAGTAAACCTGGTGGGATCAGTCTCATGACTGGAATATAGAAATACAGGGGTATAACCTTTTCAAGAGAAACTGGCCAAACAGGAAAGGAGGAGGAATAGCATTATATGTCAGGGATATTTACACCAGTGAAGAAATCCAGGACATCAATCCTGGAAGCCAGGTGGAGAGCATCTGGATAAAAATTAAAGGGGTGGGAAACAACAGGGATGTTATTGTGGGAGTCTACTACAGACTCCTAACTCAGGCAGGAGAATTGGATGACGCCTTTCAAAAACAGATGAGTAGAAATATAGTAGTGATGGGTGACTTCAACTATCCTGATATTTGCTGGAAGTCAAACTAAGCAAAATCCTCAAGGTCTAGCAAATTCCTCACTAGCCTCGAAGACAGTGGGCCTTTACAGACTGCTAGAAATAGTGGGAATTGTATTTTTTTCTGAGACATTGAGCCTTCCCTGTCAGAGAG